GGTGGGTGGCTGTTGGTGGCGGGTGTGGATGGTGACGGCAGGTAGGTGGTGAGTAGTGGTTGGCAGTAGGTGGCGGGCGGGTGGATAGTGTGAGGGTGGTGGGTGGTGCAGAGTGGATGGCAAGTGGTGGTGGTGGAATGGTGGCGAGGGGTGGTGGGGGTGGCCGGAAGGGTGGGTGATGGTGGCAAGTGGGTGGGAGTAGTGCGTAGCAGGTTGGTGGGGGAGTGGGTGGTGCGTGAGTGTTGATAGTGGAAGACATGGTAGAAAAGGTGACGGGTGGTGGCTAGTGTTGGGTGGTAAAAAAAAAAAAAAATTCAAAACTCAAATGAAAACACATTTTTTTCAGTTTACATTTTTGCCAAATTTATAAACTGAGACCCACTATTTTATAAATCAAAAATTTACAAAATTAAGTTTTTATATGAGTATTTAAAAATTTTTGTAAATAAAACAGAAAACTGAAAACGTTAATCGTGACCAAACGGCAACGTTTTCAGTTTTCAGTTTATATTTAAAAAATTTTAAATTCAAATAAAAACTTAGTTGTAAATTTTTTGATTTATAATTAGTGGTCCGGTTTTATCAAATTTTGACTAAAAAATGTAAATATAAAAAAAAAATCCAAAAAATGTGTTTTCTTGTTGAAGTTCTTTAGTTTTTTTTTTTTTTAACCACCCAACACTAACACCCCCGCACCATGTTCCACCCACCGTTCTTCCGCCGCCACCACCCACCCCAGCCACCACCACCTTGCCAACCACTACTCACCACTCACCCCACCTACCACCAACCACCCAAGCCACACCATCCACTCCCCCCACCCGCGCTACCCGCTGCCACAACACCACCACCACCCCCCACCACCCCCGCCACCACCACCACCACCACCCACCACTCACCCCTGCCACCCACTCGCACCACCACCCACCCCTCACCACACACTTCCACCCACATAGCCCACCACCAACCCACTACCCACCACCACCACCTACTACCACCACAGCCCACCGCCACCCCACCCATCACCCGCATCACCACCACCAACCACCCCCATTCGCCACGAACCCACCACCCGCCATGTCACCCAACCTATTCTCACACCCACCACCACCACCTGCCCGCCACCACCCTCCATCCACCACCACCTGCCACCACCATCTTACCCACCCGTCACTGCTTTCCACCACCGTCTTCCGACCGCCACCACCCGCCCACTGCCACCATTTTCCGATTACCGTCTTCGGCCACTTGCCACTATTTCCACCACTGTCTATCTGCCACCACCACCCGCCATTCATTTTCCACCATCGTCTCCGCAGGCCACCACTCGTTCACCACCCGCCACCACTTGCCAATTCTCACTCTTCTTTATATGTTTAAATTTTAAAACATTTTGTCTTTAAACTAAACGCGTTTGTAGTTTATGTTTTCTAAAAATAAACAAAATCAGTTTATTAAATTTTTGTAATATAAACTAAAAACGTAAATGTTACCAAACGTTGGTGTTTTGTAACGTTTTACGTTTTCAGTTTATATTACAAAAAATTTATAAACTGGTTTTTGTTTATTTTTTGTTTATTTTAGAAAAACATAAACTGCAAACGCAATTTTGTATAATTGACACAAAATGTTTAAAAAAATTAAAAATATAAAAAAAAGAGTTGAGAAATAAGCAAGTGTGGCAAGTGGCGGCCAGGAAGACGGTGTGGAAGTTGGTGAGTGGGTGGTGGGTTAGCTGGTGGTGGCGGGGTGGGTGGGGTGGGTGTGGTGACTGTGGGGGTGGTGTGGTGGTAAACGCGTGGGTTGTGTGGTGGTGGCGGGGTAGCGCGGTGGTTGGGATGGCTGGGTGGGTAGTGAGCGGGTACTGGTAGCGGTGGTTGGTGGTGGTGGGTGGTGGGTGACGTGGTGGGTGGTGGGTGTAAGCGATGGGTTGGTGGTAGCGGGATGGTAGGTGGCAGGTGGGTGGTGATGGTGAGTGGGTGGGTGGACCGTGGCGAGTGATGGGTGATGGGTGGTAGCAAGTGGGTGGTGGTGTGGTGGTGGTCGGCGATGTAGGAGGTGTGGCATGGGGGCGGGTTGTGGTGGCGGTGGTGGCGAGTAGTGGGTCGGTAGTGGTGGGTGGGTGACGTGGCGGTGGGTAGGTGGTAGCGACGTGGGGGTGGTGGATTAGTAGTGATGGGTGTGGCAGGTGAGTGGCGGGTGGGATGTAGTGGAGGGTGGATGGCAGGTGGGTGTGGGTGGTGGTGGGTGGCGGCGAGGGGTGGATGGTCGGTGCGCGAGTGACTGGTGGCAGGTGGGTGAGTGGTGGCAGGTAGGTTGCTGAAGTTGGTGGTGGCAGGTGGTGTGCGGGTGTATGAGTGGTAGTGGCGGAAGCGGGTTGGTGGAAATTGTTGGGGTTGATTTGGGCTTAGTGTTGGGTGGTAAGAAAAAAAAAAAAAAAAAACTGAAACTTCAAAATGGAAACACCATTTTTTGTGTTTCATTTTTGGCCAAATTTTAGTAAACTGAGACCACTGATTTATAAATTTCAAAAATTTTACCAAATAAGTTTTATTTGATTGGTTTAAATTTTTGTAAATATAAACAGAAAATAGGAAAACGTAAGGTGTATTACCAAATGTAAACAGTTACCAATCTCAGCTTTCTGTTTATATTACAAAAAATTTAAAATTCAAATAAAACTTGTTGCGTAAATTTTTAATTTATACAATCAATGGTCTGCAGTTTATAAATTCTGGCCAAAAAATGTAAACTAAAAAATGTGTTTCCATTTTTAATTTTCATTTTTTATTTTTTAACCACCAACACTAGCACCACCAGCCACCATTTTCCAACCCACCGTCTTTCCGCCACTTACCACCCACCCCCCACCACCACCTGCTACCCCACTCGCCACCCCACCCACCCCTGGCTACCGCCCACCACCCACCAAGCTCACCTGCCATCCACTCGCCACTAACCATCCACCGTCCCCACCACCACTCAACCAGCCCACCTGCCACACCCGCACCACCAGCCACCACCACCACCAGGCAACCTACACCAGCAACCGCCACCACACCACCCCCACCCGACCACCCACATGCCGCCACCACACCCACCAGACCACCACCACCACCACTTGCTTACCACCCACCACCCCCACCCTCACCCACCAACCCCGCCCACCACACACTACCCGTCACAATCCCACCACCACCCGCCATCCGTCCACCCACCTGCCACCACCACCCACCAAATGCCACCACACCAACACCACCCACTCGCTACTCCCATCACCCCGCCACCGTCACCCACACCCCACATTCACCACCCGCCACTAATCCGCCACCACCACCCCTTAACCCGTCACCACCCGCCATCCACCACCCACCTGCACCCACCACCCGCCACCATTTTCCACCACCGTCGTTACGTTTATAAAAATTTTAAAAACTCAAATAAAAATTTGTTTCGTAAATTTCTTGATTATTAAATCAGTGGTCTCAGTTTATTAAATTTTGGCCAAAAAATGTAAAATCAAAAAATGAGTTTACGTTTTGTGTTTTTTTTTTTACACCCAACACTAGCCATTCACCTGCCACCATTTTCCACCACCGTCTTCCGCCACCACCACCATATGTCATGACTCGAAAACCCGCCCTCATAGGTTAAGGACATAACCGGGCCAGTAATCAATGAGGATTTACCTACGGGCCTCAAACCAAACCAAACGTTTTTTAACAGCAGTAATGGAGGCCAAACGGGAAGCAATTTTTAAAACTTTGTCCATAGAGCTTGTACTTTAATGGCTTATCAAAAATAACCATACATATTACATTAATAACTCACACAGAAAAATACAGTAGCATACAATTCTGTACAGTACAGGATCATATAAGTTTAAGTCAACCCATCAAAACTATATACAACAGATGCAGGTCTTCGCCAACATTGACAGAATATAATACATAACAAAGGGGCGAAGTCGGGTCTCGTGCAGGAGACACAAGAGCTGACTCTTTTCGAAATTTTTGTGTTCCACATAGACTTCACTGGGCGTTGGGTTTGGACTTCTCTTGGCTTCACCTACAAACACATGAATGAGCGCGGTGAACGAAGCCCGTGAAAATATTCAAATAAAGAAGTATTACAAACGATTGTAGAACAAACATGCTTTCAAACGACCTTGGACCCAATTCATATTTCATTTACGTATATACACAATTTAGTCGTGTGACTACGGTTCCCCACAAAAACAAAGCACTGGACCCATTCAAAACTTTCATTTGTGTCAAAACGGCCTTTTGGCCTATTCAGATGACCAAAACTGGCCTTTAGCCCTTTTCTTTTCCATGGCAAACTGGTCCTTTGGCCCATTTCAAACTTTCATTTGTGTCCAAAACGGCCTCTGGGCCCATTCATTCCAAGTCAAAACAAGCCTCTGGCCCATTCATCATGTTCCAAAACCGACCTTCGGCCCATTTATTCTGTCCAAAACGGCCTCTAGCCCATTCATTCAAAGTTCAAACGGCCATCTAGCCCTTCATTTATGTCATAAACGGCCTTCGGTCCATTCATTCATGTCAAAACGGCCCTGGCCCGTTCATTCAGTCAAACGCTTCTGGCCATTCATTCATGTCAAAACGGTTGATTCCACCAATCGAACAACGAAACTTATACAACTTACATAGAAGTAAGTAATTGGGATAACAACAATATTTCAGATATCTTTTGTAAGATATTACTCACATGTGATCGGTGGTTGTTTGCCTTGGGCGGCTGACCTACATATTCCATGAAACACAAAAGGGTCACAACAATTCATCCGTTCCTTAATTCACATGTTTCCTCTTTTAGGCTCATTCTTATCTCCTTTAAACTCATTTACAATGCCTCAATGCATGCCTAAGGAGTGCTTACAAGTGAAGAGGACGGAAAACGAAACACAGAACGCATAAACAAAATTTCAGAAACACGATCCCCGCTCGAGTGTGACTTCCTCGCATCTGAGGCGGACCATGAGGTCTGCAAAAGTGCTGGATTGCATCAAAATTACGCATTTGAGCGTGAGTCTGTCGCTCGAGTTGAAGGGTCTGTTCTACATAGCTCCCCGTTCTAGCGTGAAACTTCCCGCTCGACGGACATCTATGTCTGCAGAATACTGGGGCACGAATTTCAGCTCGAGCGGCATTCTCCCGTTTGAGCGACATAAAAATTATGGTTTCCAGAACACATTCTTTGAGCTCCAATCGACATTCAATGGTTCTAGATGCATGCATTTTGGCTCAAACTTACATAATCAGTTACTAACATGGTACCCAAACACCCAATCTTACAACACAATGGAAGCTCATTTTCACAATTTAATCACATGCATGACTCAAATTAACTCAAACTCAAACACCACATGCTCAGATTTCAAACATTCAAGCCTATTACACCCCCATGGATTTGTAATTGCATGTGGGAGATGCTCAATCATTCTCAACTAATTGGGTGAAAGGTTGATCAAAACATGCATGTGTATATAGACTACCAAATCAACAAAAACCAACTCAATTTCATCATGATTCAATTCATTTTATTGTTCCTTATCAATATTCAACTTAAATTCACAAAAAATTACAAACTAATATACGCAAATTCACTCGCCTAGGAAGCCTTAATCTTCCCCAATTTATGATCAAATCTTGAGTTAGACTTTCAAATTTCCAAAGCCTCGAGACCAAAATTGCACAATTCTTCTTCTTCTCTTCTCTCTCTCTCTCTCTCTCTCTCTCCCTCTATAGCCGCCCTCTCTCTAATTTTGAGTCCAAGATCCAGCCACAAAATTAGCAACCAGGAGAAAAATTGAGGGTGTAGTGCCTTTTTACAACAACTTCCACTTAATTTCATTTATAATAATATTAGATAATGGAGCCTTAAATTGATAATTCCTGAACTAATTATTTTGATTTCGAATCAATTTCTAATTAAATTTCACCGTAGGCTCAAAATTATGGCCAGGTTCACAATAACGTAATCAATTTCGGGTTCTGTGGGCCGATGAGGCCTTCAATTTAATTTCCTAAAGCAGATAATCAAACAGTATATCTTACGCGTGAACAAATAAAAATTTAAAACCACTATTATCACATAATGGCACACAAAATCATATTAACACACATAATCATTACTTCCATTTAAGACCAATTAACAAATTATGGAACAGGGATATCACACCCCCACCCAGTCCCCCACCACCACCTGCCACAAACAACTCACTACCCATTTGTTACAACCATCTTGCTAGCCACCACTCACCTACCCACCTGCCATCCACCCGCCACCATCCACCACTCGCCACTACTATCCACTCCGTCCGCCACCACCTACCTGCCACTTACACGCCACCATCCACTCACCAGCCATCTCCACTACCATACACCACCGCCACCCACCAGCCCACTAGTCACACCCATCTGTCTCCCACGCCACCACCACCCATTACCACCACCACCACCATCAACACCACTACCTTACCATCAACCACCACGCCACCACCCCACCACCACTACCACCATCACACAACAAACCCACCCGCCACACACCCACCCACCGCCGCCACCGCCACCCAACCCACTTGCACAACCACCACCCACTACCCGCCACTACCACCACCACTCACCACCACCCACCGCCGCCACCCACCCACCTGCCCACCACCCAACCACCCACCACCCGTCACCGTCAACTTTACACCTACACCACCACCCGCCACTACCACCCCCACCACACCTGCCACCACCCGCCATCTACCACCCGCTGCCACCACTATATACCCACCCGTCACCACTTTCACCACCGTCTTCGCCGCCACCACCCGCCATTTTGCCCCACTTTCCACACCGTCTTCCTCCCACCACCACCCACCCACCAGCCACTTTGCCACACTTTCCACGCACCGTCTTCTGCCCCATCACCTACCAACCTGCCACCCACTTTTCCACCACCGTCTTCCGCCGCCACTTGCCACCACTTGCTATTTCTCACTCTTTTTTATATTTTTAAATTTTTTTAAACATTTTGTCAATTACCAAACGCGTTTGTAGTTTATTTTTTCTAAAAATAAACAAAAATCAATTTATAAAATTTTTGTAAATATAAACTAAAAACGTAAACGTTTTTCAGTTTATATTTACAAAAATTCAAAAAACTGTCATAAAAACTTGTTTGATAAATTTTTTGATTTACAAATGGTTGTTTCAGTTTATAAATTTGAGGGAAAAAATTGTAAACTCAAAAAATAAGTTTACGTTTTCAGTTTTCAGTTTTCAGTTTTCAATTTTCAATTTTTTTTTAATTATTTTTTTTCAAAATTTTTTTTTCAATTATTTTTCTTCAATTAATCTTTTTTTCAATCAATTTTTTTTCAAATATTTTTTTCCCAATTAATTTTTTTTTCAATTATTTTTTTAATTAATTTTTTTTTCATTTTTTTTCACATAAATTTTCTTCGATTAATTTTTTTTCAATTAATATTTTTCAATTAATTTTTTTTCAAATATTTTTTTACTTAATTTTTTTTCATTTTTTTCAATTAATTTTTTTTCAATTATTTTTTTTCATTTATAATGTGTGCGATCCCATTGTCATAAACAATAAATATAAATATAAATATTTTAGATCTAAACAAACATATTTTTTAGTTTATTTTTTTTAAAAAATTTAAACACTTTGTTCAAATCGAACGCATTTGTAATTTACGTTTTTCTAAAAATAAACGAAAACTTGTTTATAAATTTTTTGTAAATGTAAACCAAAAATGTAAACGTTACCAAACGCGTAAATTTTTGTAAGTACCACAATTACGTGTTGGCCATCATGCAAGAGGGCTCGAATAAGTGTCCGAGTCTTCGAAGCCTAATGTATGAGAAACGATAAGTAAACACCATAATTACATATTTCCTATCATGCAAGATGGTCCGAATAAGTGTCCGATTGCTCGAACCCCAATGCATGAGAAATGGTAAGTAAATACGATGATTACATATCTGCGATCATTGAAGAAGGTCCGAATAAGTGTCCGAGTGTTTGAACCCTAGTGCATGAGATATTGCAAGTAAATACGATAATTATATATCTGCTATCATGCAAGAGGGTCCGAATCAGTTTCCGAGAGTTTGAACCATAATGCATGAGAAATGGTAAGTAAACACCATAATTACATATCAGCCATCATGCAAGAGGGTCCGAATAAGAGTCCGAGTGTTCGAAGCCTAATGGATGAGAAATGGTTAGCAAACATGATAATTACATATTTGCCGTTATGCAGGAGGGTCCGAAGAAGTTTTCGAGTTTTCAAACCGTAATGCACGAGAAATGACTAGCAAACACCATAATTACATATCTGCCATCAGGCAAGAGGGTCCGTATAAGTGTCCGGATGTTCGAACCCTAATGCACGAGAAATGGTTAGTAAACACGATAATTATATATCTGTCATCATGTAAAAGGGTCCGAACAAGTGTTCGAGCGTACGAACCATAGCGCATGAGAAATGGTAAGTAAACACCATAATTACATATCTACCATCATGCAAGGGTGTCCGACTAAGTGTCCGAGTGTTCGAAGCCTAATGTTTGAGAAATGGTAAGTAAACACGATAATTACATATCTGTCATCATTCAGGAGGGTCCGAATAAATGTCCGAGTGTTCGAACCATAATGCATGAGAAATGGTAGGTAAACACCATAATTACATATTTGCCATTATGCAAGAGGGTTCGAATAAGTGTCCGAGTGTTCGAACCCTAGTGCATGAGAAATAGTAAGTAAACACGATAATTACATATCTGCCATCATGCAAGAGGGTCTGAATAAGTGTTCGAGTGTTCGAATTGTAATGCATGAGAAATGGTAAGTAAACGTAACAATTACATATCTACCATCATGCAAGAGGGTCCGAATAAGTGTCCAAGTGTTCGAACCCTAATGCATGGAAAATGGTAAGTAAACACAATAATTACATATTTGTCATTATGCAAAAGGGTCCGAATAAGTGTCTGAGTGTTCGAACCCTAATGCATGGGAAATGGTAAGTAAACACAATAATTACAAATCTGCCATCATGTAAGAGGGTCCGAATAAGTGTCCGAGTGTTCGAACCATAATTCATGAGAAATGGTAAGTAAACACCATTAATATTTCAGCGTTGTCTTCGGCGACGACCATCAAGGACCAGTGCAACAATAGAACATCCGGCTCGTATTTTAAAACCAACCACCGAAATTGTCTAAAATATCTGGTATCCATTGCAAAATAAGACAAATCCGCATATTATTTTGCCTTCAACAATAGTATTTATGCTGTGCTTTCCCTATTCAATCTTTTAATCTGGACCACAGATCTAGGAGCGGAGTGGAGCTGAGCCCTGTAGCCGACAACACGACACCAAATGTGGAAGGGAGCACCAATCCGGGGACGACACGTGGCGTGGGGGGAGCATCCCAGGTAATGTTAGTGGGACGCTCTGGGAACCATATATAACTCACTCCCTAACTCTCTAACATGGTAAACTTTTTGGAGAGTGACTTGCGTCATCAAAGGGAGTAAGTGACGTCATTGAGAGTGAGTTATGGCCTCAATGCATGAGAAATGATTAGCAAACACCATAATTGCATATATGCCATCATGCAAGAGGGTCCGTATAAGTGTCCAAGTGTTCGAACCCTAATGCATGAGAAATGGTAAGTAAACACGGTAATTTCATATCTGCCATCATGCAAGAGGGTCTGAATAAGTGTCTGAGTTTTCAAACCATAATGCATGAATAAGGGATTTCATCTTCAGTTGAAATTTCTTCAGCTTCTAAGGCTTGGATTAACTGGTCTTTAATGTCTGGATCAAGATTGAGTTCATTGACTGTTGTCCCTCCTTAACTCATTTCCGTTGGTATAAGATAACACATTTTACAATGGCTAAACATTCCTGTTTAATGGTCGGATAATTTAAAGCAGCTTGATTCCAATGCCCAGAATGAAAACGTAAAAGCTCTTCTTTCTGAGTGTTGGGATTAAACTGTTTCAAAATACCACCAAATCCTTCATTGGAAGCATCGGTTTCAACAATTTTCTTCCATTCAGGATTAGGTAAATTTAAACAAGGTAACTGTTGGACTTTAGCTTTAATTTTTTGAACTGCTAAAGTATGTTCTGGAGACCATGGTGGAGGATTCTTTTTTAACCTGGTATACAAGATGTTAGCATCTGCAGATAAATTCTGGTAATAGTCTCTAATATAATTAAGACTACCTAAAAATCTCTGTAATTGAGTTTTGTCTTTAATTTCGTCAGGAAATTTAGAGGCAAACTCCATGCTTCTGTTAATGGGAATAATACTACCATTGGAAATATTATGTCCTAAATATCTGATGGTGGTTTGAAATAATTGCATTTTTGGGGCAGATAAAACCAAACCATTTCTGATAATAACATTCTTAAAAATATTAAGATGTTTTATATGCTGGTCAATTGATGAAGAGAAAATTAAAACATCATCAATATAAGAGAGAGTAAATTCTGTAAATGGATTAAAAATATCATTCATGATATGCTGAAATTCTGATGGTGCATTTTTGAGTCCAAATGGCATGACATTCCACTCATAATGCCCAAAGGGTACTGTAAAAGCTGTTTTATAGCGATCCTGTTCAGCAATTTCGACTTGCCAATATCCTGATTTAAGATCAAATTTAGAAAAGATTATGGCATCCTGGAGTCGATCTAAAAGATCCTTCTTGTTCGGAATAGGATAACGAATCCATTTCAATTTATCATTTAACGGTTTATAGTTAATCACAAGGCGTGGAACACCTCGTTCTAACTCTGCATTTTTATTGACATAAAAAGCGGTACAACTCCACAGGGAGTGACTAGGACGGATGAGTTTCTTTATAAGAAGATCTTGAATTTCTGTTTTGCACATTTCCATATATTCCTTTTTCATTTGACTAGGGCGAGCTCTAGTTGGAATATATTTTTCATCAAAATCTGGTTCATAGGGTAAAGTTACAATATACTTTTTGCGATTCCAAAAAGCATTCGGAACAGTACCACAGACTTCTGTTTGAAATTCTTTTTCAATTAATTTAATTTTCTGTTGGAAAGAAGATTGTTGTAATCTTTGTTCTGTTGTCAGAAAGGAAACTTCTTTTTGAATTAAATTTATCTGGTTTTGTTTAACAGAAATTAAATCACGAATTTGATCTAATTCTTTCGTATAAGGTTGAGTGATAAACTCAAAGATAACTGTTTTTCCCTGTGATTGGGAATAAATACCGGTTGAATCAATTTTCTGGATAGGCATTAAAAGACAAAGGAAAGGTGTGCCTAAAATGATATTTGTAGCGAGATTTCTGACTAGAACAAAAGATGTTGGAAGACAGAGATCTTCATTACAGATATAAGCTTCTGGAATTTTATACCTGATCTGGAGAGAATTTCCACTAGCACTGGTAAGACTCTGAGTAGCCTTTTCAAAATACCTGGTCGGAACTATATCTTCTTGAATACAGTTCATATCAGCTCCGCTATCCACTAAGGCAATTGCATCCTTAATGATAAAATCCGGTTTAATCATAAAAGAAATTTTTATGTACCATTTCTGAAAAGTGACTTGATTAACAAGTAAAAGGTAAGGAGTAGAGGTTTCTGATTCGTTCTTGTTAAGATCAAGTTTTTGTTCAGTTTCTTTTTCTTTTTCTTTCTGTTTAGGAATTTGGGTATGAAGATACTTAATATCTTTAATAGCAGCTTCACTAGCAGTTTGCAAGTGTTTAACTTCTGTTTTGAGGATATTAATTTCCATTTTTAAATCCTGGAGAGTAGTTGGTTGTTCTACTACTGATTTAGTCTGGATTCTATTAATTACTGTTTGGAGATTATAGGAATAATCTGGTATAGGAGGGGTATCTGTTATTGTTTGTTGATGTTCATAGCACATCTTTAAATATTTTATTTTTATCTCTGGATCCTGGATCTGGTCTGCTACAGCGAGCATATCCTTTTGGGTATTGATACTACTGGGTTCTCCTAGATTTAAACCATTCATTTCTACTATGGATTTCCAGTAATTAATTTCTGATATTTGTTCCTGATTGGTACTACAGGGACATGGTTCTTCTGATTCATCTTCATTAGAGGAAGAGGAATATAACTGGTTAAGCTCATCATCAGAAGGGATTTCATCTTCAGTTGAAATTTCTTCAGCTTCTAAGGCTTGGATTAACTGGTCTTTAATGTCTGGATCAAGATTGAGTTCATTGACTTTGGATTTCGCTTTAGATCTACATCTATTAGCATAGTGTCCTGTTTGGCCACATTTGTAGCATTTTACTTCGGATTTAGATTTACCTTTTGGTTTACTGGTGGATTTCTTTGAATAAAACTTCTTGGTAGGTTTCGGATGGCTAGTCTTTTGATAAGACTTTTTTCTGTATCTGTTGAAGAATATTTTCTATTTGTCTTCTGGATGGTAGATTGTCAACAGATTGTCGGCTAGATTCCGGATAATCCACTTGATAAGGAGGGATAGATCTAAAACTGTTATTGGAAAAACTTCTAGGAGCAGTTCTAAAACTGGCATTAGAAGAATTGCTTCTGGTAAGCAAAGGTTTCTGAAATTGGAGGTAAACATGACCTCCTTGAGTCTGGATAACATCATCGATGTTATGTTGAATCATCGATTTAGGTGGAACGGCATTAGGAATTTCCCACCTATCTGGAAATGTGATGTCTTTCCAAGCAATCATCTTGGGGACAGCAACTTGGCTACTGTAAAGGTTAGTCTCAATTAAGACTGTTTGACCTGTTTCAGTTTTCTTTTTTACATAAGGATTTAAAGTTGTTAAAGCCTTTATGTAAATCCTGGAATGTACAGAAAAGAGTGGTGTACCTGGTTTATAATTATATCCATGAGTGAGAACTCTAAGTTCTAAAACATTAGATAAGTTAGCATCACATAAAGCAACGCTAAGATTCGGATAAATATCAAAATAAACTGGTCCATGAGACAAGCTTGTCTCAATAGCTCCCATAAGTGAAGCTCGCCAATCAAGGCATCTTCCATCACGAAGGGTGCATTGAATACTGGTATTTTGACCAAGAAGAGTCAAAGGTTTAAAAGCAATTTGTACCAATCCTATATGGATGTACTTATAATCTTTCAGAAAGGGGACAAAATCATTAACATGAATTAGTCTGATAATTTCATCATTATTCTGGATACAAGATGCATGTTCAAATGTCTTGATTATTGTTCGGCTAAGAAATTGAAATTTTCCTTTTCTGTATATGGTGTAGGGATCTACTGATGGTATGATCCACTTATCAAGGGCCTGTTTCACATCCTGGTAGGCAACTAATTCTGCAGCTTCGGCTAGAGAGGAAACAATATTTCCTACAGTTGTTACTGATTCAGTTCCTGGTATTTCTACGGTATTTTCATTTTGTTCTGACATAGTTCTTACATATTTGTCATTATGCAAAAGGGTCCGAATAAGTGTCTGAGTGTTCGAACCCTAATGCATGGGAAATGGTAAGTAAACACAATAATTACAAATCTGCCATCATGTAAGAGGGTCCGAATAAGTGTCCGAGTGTTCGAACCATAATTCATGAGAAATGGTAAGTAAACACCATTAATATTTCAGCGTTGTCTTCGACGACTACCATCAAGGACCAGTGCAACAATAGAACATCCGGCTCGTATTTTAAAACCAACCACCGAAATTGTCTAAAATCTCTGGTATCCATTGCAAAATAAGACAAATCCGCATATTATTTTGCCTTCAACAATAGTATTTATGCTGTGCTTTCCCTATTCAATCTTTTAATCTGGACCACAGATCTAGGAGTGGAGTGGAGCTGAGCCCTGTAGCCGACAACACGACACCAAATGTGGAAGGGAGCACCAATCCGGGGACGACACGTGGCGTGGGGGGGAGCATCCCAGGTAATGTTAGTGGGACGCTCTGGGAACCATATATAACTCACTCCCTAACTCTCTAACATGGTAAACTTTTTGGAGAGTGACTTGCGTCATCAAAGGGAGTAAGTGACGTCATTGAGAGTGAGTTATGGCCTCAATGCATGAGAAATGATTAGCAAACACCATAATTGCATATATGCCATCATGCAAGAGGGTCCGTATAAGTGTCCAGGTGTTCGAACCCTAATGCATGAAAAATGGTAAGTAAATACGGTAATTTCATATCTGCCATCATGCAAGAGGGTCTGAACAAGTGTCTGAGTTTTCAAACCATAATGCATGAGAAATGGTAAGTAAACATCATAATTACATATCTGCTATCATGCAAGGGGGTCCGACTAAGTGTCCGAGTGTTCGAAGCCTAATGTATGAGAAATGGTAAGTAAACACGATAATATATATCTATCATCATGCAAGAGGGTTCGAATAAGTGTCCGAGTGTACGAACCATAATGCATGAGAAATGGTAAGTAAACACAATAATTACATATCTGCCATCATGCAAGAGGGTCCGAATAAGTGTCCTAGTGTTCAAACCCTAGTGCATGAGAAATGGTAAGTAAACACGATAATTACATATCAGCCATCATGCAAGAGGGTCTGAATAAGTGTCGGAGTGTTCGAACCGTAATGTATGAGAAATGGTAAGTAAACCCCACAATTACATATCTGTCATCATGCAAGAGGGTACGAATATGTGTCCGAGTGTTCGAAACTTAATGGATGAGAAATGGTAAGTAAACACCATAATTACATATCTTCCATCATTTAAGAGGGTCCGAATAAGTGTCCGAGTGCTCGAACCCTAATGCATGAGAAATAGTAAGTAAAAACACGATATTTACATA